TATGTGTATATTATAATGTTATCTATATATTATATGTATATATATATATATGTATGTATATATGTTGTATATAAGCAGGAGAAGGACGAGCAATATCCTCCTGTGCGATTAACTACTTCCGAAAACTCACTGGAGGGCTAGCTCTGGGTTAGTTCTGACAACAATACACAACAACAAAATTATATTGTATAATCTATTGTTGAACGAATGGTTTCTTTTAAATATTTACCAGTAAAATATTTTCTTGTTCTTAAAAAAAACAACAACACCTTATCATATATCCCTTTTAAACAGTTCTCTCCCTCATCTCTTTCAATGCAGTATATCTAATTTATCCCATCTTTCTCAGTCTCCCCCCAGCCCCGATGTTAGTCCTGTTTTACAACAGTGGTACTGTGCAATATTTTTCCTTTTGTGACTGAGATATTTTACTCAGCATAATGTCCTCCAGGGTCACCCATTTTGTATAATATTTCATTAGTTCCTTGTTTTTCAGTTCTGCATACAGTATTCCATTGTGTGACTATACCACAGGTTCTCTATCCATTCATTTGTTGATGGGCACTTAGGTTGTTTCCTACTCTTTGCAATTGTGAACAGAGCCATGATAAACATGGGTGTGCATGTATTTGCTTGAGTGGTGGTTATGGTTTCTTTGGGGTATATTCCCAGTCGTGGAATTACTGGGTCAAATGCTATTTCTATTCGCAAGTTTTTGAGAAAGTGCAATACAGCCTTCCTTAGTGGTAGCCCCATTTTACACCCACCAGTCGTGATAAGGGTTATAATTTCTCCACAACCTCACCAGCATTTGTTGTTTGCTGTTCTGTTAAATTTTTCTATTCTGACTGGGAGGAGATAAAATCTCATAGTTGTTTTGATTTGCATCTCTTTTAGAGCTAAGGATTTTGAACATTTCTTCTTGTGTTTGTTTGCCATCTGAATGTCTTCTTTGGAGATGTGTCTGTTCATATCCTGTGCCCATTTTTCAATTGGGTTGTTTACCTTTATCTTGTTGTGGTAGAGGAGTATGATTTCTCAAAGAAAATATTGGATTCTTCTGAATGAGCCTGAGGCCCATTTTTCCAAAAGGAAAAAATGTTTAAGAAGGGTATTTGAAGGTTTCTAAAAACAGCTTGACCATATTCTTATTTGTACCACTGCAATCTTGGGAGTTTGGAGAAAATTCTAAGGAGTGCCCCCACTCATCTTTGTCTTTGATGGGCATGATAATATCCGTGCCAGGAAATATACTGAATCACTTGCACAAACTGTCCTTCAAGTTTAAAGGCCCACAAGTCTAGTTATTTTAAGTTGTGTGTCTTCTTTCTTGACCAGAAACCAGGACATGGACCACACCACAGGTGACCAGCCCCCCACCATCTCCAAGAACTTTCCACTCATCATCGGCAGCCATTGGGAACCAGCTATATGTCTTTGGAGGTGGGGAGAGAGGTGCTCAGCCTGTGCCAGATGTGAAGCTGCACGTGTTTGACGCAGGTATGGACTGTTTGGCACCTTGAGGCTGCCACTTACCTGGTTGGGGCTGCTACTTACCTGCTCAGGCCTCTCAGTGTAGAAAGAGATTGGAAAAGTAAATCTGAACTGAATGAGTATATCATGTCTGGTCTTGTTTGAAATTTTCCTGGGCTGATGTCTTTCCCCAGACAGCAAAATTCACATTTAAAATTTTAAAACATTTAAATAGTAAAGCTTATAAAATAGAAGAATAGTGAAAATTTTCCCTTTATATTTTTCTTTCCACTACTCAGACCAAATGAAAACCTGTTACGTTGTTGTTGTTGTTATGTGCTGTCGAGTAGCCTGAGACTCATAGCGACTCTATGTAAAACAGCCCTGAAACCTGCTCTAGCCTGTGCCAGTCTCAGTCTCTGGCACACCCATCCCGATTACCCCAGTTACGGAATCAATCCACCTAATCGAGGGTCTTCCCTTCCTGCGCTGCCCCTCCATCCTCCCAAGCATGATGTTCTTCTCCAACGACTGGTGTCAGGTGAAGCCTCAGAATCTTTGCCTCCAAAGGGCAGCCTGGTTTGACCCTCTTTAAGACGAACCTGTTTGTTTTCTTAGCAGTCCATGGTGTCTACAATACTCTTCTCCAACAGCACAACTCAAAGGTATCAGTTCTCCTATCCTCCCTAGTCACTGTCCAACTCTCTGATGCATAGCAAGTGATTGCAAAGACCATGGCTTGTATCAGGTACACCTTAGTCTCCAGAGTGACACCATTGCTCTTCAGTACTTTGGAGAGGTCCCTAACAGCAGAATTTCCCATCACAATAAACCTTTTAATTTCTTGGCTGCTGGAGCCAAGAGTGTTGACTGTGGAGCCAAGTAAACTAAAGCTGTGAACAATCTCAGTTTCTTCACCATCCATCCTGATGCTGCCAATTGACCCAGTATTAAGAATCTTTGTCTTCTTTATATTGAGCCTCAATCCATATTGAAGGCTGCAGTCCTTGACCTTCTGCAGCAAGTGCTTCAGGTCCTCCTCAGTTTCACCAAGCAGGG